TCCTTGGGATCTGCTAAGGGTGGCAGTGCTGGGCGTGGCAGACGCTGCTGTGATAGCAGCGATGCACCCCCTATGCCTGGCGGTGCCAGCGTAGGACAAAGGGCAGTTTCCCCTTATGGCATCTGGGGCGACTGCCTTTGGGGGTTATGGTCCCAAGGTAGGACATTTTGGTGTTTCCCCTTGGGAGAGTCGCCGTGTAGGGAGTTGGGAGATCTCACCAGCTCGTAGGGCTGACGTGGATTGAGGGTTGAGATTGGGCCTGGACCTTTGGGCCGTAGCCTTGTTGGGCCATCCGGAACACAAAGCAAGGGGAACAAGTGTCGTTTTTCATTCATACTTTAAGTACAAATGGAGGATTAGTAAATGTATGACGCTCATTTTCAGAATGTTCTTTAAAGCTTCTCCTTTCTTCCTTTTATATCTGACTTTAAATATTAACTGATTATAATCATAACTATGATAAAAAAATTTCCCAACTCTATTGTTTTGTGTTTTAAGGTATAAAATGTGAAATATATTGTGTAAGATGTTTCAATTTCATGGAAACATGATCATCTGGTAATTTCATTCTTAATGTAGCTAGCATCTGTTGAAAAGCTTTGGCAGATAGGAATATGGGCAAGCTTATATGAAGGGTGGTGGATTGCTTTGGCAGCCTTCCTGTTTGGAACTATCCCTAAACTGTAATTAGTTTTAAGTAAAAAGGTTTGTCATTTCAAATGACACACCTTACATCCTTTCACTCTCACAAAGAGGTGAGACCCATATTTTTAAAACTTTTTTCCCTCTTTCTTTCTCTCATAATTTATCTCTTTTTCTCACTTAAAATGATATAATTTTATGTCCTTTAAAATGATACACATTTTCTCCTTAGTTTTGACTCTCTTAAGGGGGTGTTCAGTATGAGTATTTTGGGGTAAATCCTGGAAAGGTAGGGTGGAGATTTTTTTTTTTACCATATTTGGTATGAGTATTTGTAAAATTATCCTAGGAAAATTTTTTCCCCATCATCTCCTTTTTTAACTACACATTCCTAAAAAAAACCCATCCCACCCATGGTGTTTTTTTATTCCCGCGAAATGGATTTCGCATTTTAAAAATTTGAGACCAAAATGCCCTAATAAATATATCAGCAAAAGTGAAGATATTGCATAGAAACAAATAAATCTTTGGTGCTACTGTTACACCAAAGATTCAGTACATTCCACCAATACAAATATTACATGTCAGCTAAAGTTTTCTTTTCTCTGCCAAATTTTTTCTCTCTCCTATGATGTGTAATGCTCTCATTGGTGGGATGCACTGAATCTTGGTGCAACAGTAGCACCAAAGATTTTTTCCATAGAAACATACATCGTCATCTTCTTCTTCATCTTCAATGACAAAATAGTCCTCTGAAGCACATTCAGAAGTATCATTCGATTTCCTCCAGCAAAATTCATACTAGACCCTCTTAATATCCATGCCCGTTCATGGGATGATGTGTATGCTGCTAACTAGGGGTGAAAGTGGGCTGGGCTGGGCCAAGCTTTGCCCCGAAAAGCCCAAGCCTACATCAAAAAATTTTAATTAGGCCTGGCCCAAACCTAGTATGAGTCTAACTGTTAGCCTGGTTTGGCCCATTTATAAAAAAACAAATGGCCTGGCTTGGCCCGTTAGCCTGTTAATTTTTAACTTCCAAGCGGAACCATAAATCAACTTTACAAAGTACTCAAATTATGTTGCTACACCAAAAATCATAATTTCAACGTCCAAACAGAATCATGAACCATAACAAAACTCATACAATATGCATTTAAGTCATTTTCAAAAGCAAAATGCTCAAACTAAATAACATATATTTCATCAGATCTAACAAACAAATCATACTATGTAAATTAAAATAACTACATGAATCCAACAAACACATCATGATTCTTGTAGTAAGTACAACCTCACCCAAAAATCTTTTAATATATTCATATACACAATCTAACATGTTGAGATATTGGTTCCTCCTATATAAGAAATAAAGTAAGATTTTTATTAAAATATAATCGAATATAATTAAGTTATAAATAATTGCAATTGATTAAATTTATATCTTTTGTTTTTTCTTCAAGGCATATTTACTCTATTTTATTTTATTTAAAATAAATAGTACAATATAGGTCCGGTATGTAGGCTTATAGGTCCGACCTTTTGAAAGTCGGCCTACGACCTTTTTATTAAACAGGCTTTTTTAAAGCTCAAACCCGGCCTATTATACAAAATATACTAGGTCAGGTTTGGCCTGATGTAGGCCGAGCCGTAGGCCCGTGTAGGCCGGCCCGACTCAATTTCACCCCTATTGCTAACTGAGCTCCTAATGCAAGCATTGAAAGTGTTCTCATGGATCCTGATATGGTTTCTTTAGATCGCACCACACTAATCAATTCATTTTTATATTCTGGTTCATTAGCAAAAAAGCCCATCATGAGCTTCAATGAACAAAAAATCTTTTCCAATGCTCAAAATTATGAGGATAGTATTTTTCTTATTGAAACCTTATACTGTAAATTGTTTCTCAAAAGCAATTTTTTTTTGCTACATAAACTAAAATCATTTATTGAAAAACATTCCAAGAAAACCTCTTCCAAGGAGCGAGGAGGAAGAGAGTCCTGTATGTGCTTCAACAGATGTATATAAGTTGCAGGAAGCACACGGAGAGAGACAGACTGTCCTTTTATAAAACGAAAATTGAAAACAAATATTCACACACATGGCTAATTTTGTAATTTCAGTCCAGATTCCTACAAATATTTTATAATCAACCAAATATGACATTAGAAAAATAATCCAACATTCTCGAGAAAATTTTGGGCTACCAAACACTTTTTCGTAACTTATTTGTGAAAAAAAATTTCCGACCATATTCTTGATAATTTTTTTTCACTGTAAAAAAAAATATATCTTCTCTGTCAAAGGACACCTAAAGGGTGCCACATTTGGATGCTATTTTTAAGTTTTTCAGTATCTGGGGCCCGTATAACATATCACACACTATGCTCATTTTCCACTTAAGGACATCCACAAGGCTACAAGCTTGGCACTGATAGCTTATCTCGTGGGGACCAGCTGGTGGTGATAAAGGTATCTGAGAGCTTTTTGCCGGGACAATGGGCAAAGGTGCCAGCTTGGAGGACATAACCTTTCATTGAGAGATAATAATAAAAATGGTAAACTCCGGTGCACGAGGCTCACTGAGTTGTGGGGATAGGGTTGAGAGTTGATTATACACAACTTTATCTTTGTATTTTTGCAAATAGAGGGTTTCTTATACTCGAGCCTAGAATCTTCCAATCATAAGAATCAACCTTATCATTGCTTTTGAGAGATAATATGTCTACATAAAATTTTGAAACTTGAATTAGATATTAGGTGAATCATACAAAAACCTAGGACTACCATTGTGTGCATATGTATCCTTATAGGTGATTATAGGTATGATTCAGAGCAGCAAAGCAGTGAATAACGTTTATCCCCCAGTTGTTGAAGAGCAGATGCTGTAAAAAAGTGATCACTCAGAACCATTTAGGAAGGTACCATTAATATACTTGGCAGGTCCATTGCTTTCAAACTTTCCTGTTACAGCTGATGATGCTGGCAGATAACATTGACAAGAAAAAAAACCAAATCTGAGTGGGTCCTGATGTTGTTCAACTTGTTTAATCACCGTAAGCATCTGAAGCCATTATCATGTCCTGATTCATAGGAACATGGTTCCAAGTAGTATCCCAATCCTACCCCATGAATGAAATGATATATTTTCATTCCAAAGAGCACTCCTAGCCTAATGACTAGGATGAAATGGATTGTGAGATAATCTTAAATCATGTCAATTTGATGATAAGTACTAATGAAGATCATTCAAGGAAACGGCGGATTTATTTCATGTCACTAAATGCACATTTAAGTGCCAAACGTAGCCATCCACAGCTTATATGAATATAACACATGCAGAGAGGAATGCATTGCTATAAAGTCTAAAATATGAAAGGTTGCTAGTGGCTTGTGAGTCATGTAATTTGTAAAAAATTAATTCAATCCAAAAGCTTGAGCAGATGAATGAGGCTTCCTTAATGATTTTTATATTTCTCTAACACACTTCCGTAGACTTAATTAATTATTAATTAAATGGGGATAGAGAAGATCAAATGATATCATGTAAAAAATTCAACCCAAAAACTTAAGCTGATAAGTGAGGCTCCCTTAATAATTTTTATATTTCTCTAACATAGTATTTTCAAATAAAAAAGGTTAGACAATGCTCTGGGTAATAGTCAGTATGTCCTGAGGTGAACATTAAAACACAACCAGAATAATGGCAGAACAAAATATAATGCCAAACTTGTATAATGTTATGTTTTGGCAATGGAGTGGTCCTAGGTAAGTTTCTATTGCTTATTTACTGACATGAACCACCTTTACTATATATAATGACACACTTTTTAATATATTCTAATAAAAGGAAAAAAAATGCAGCACATTTCAGCTTTATGAAAGCAAACTTCAGAATATTTACAATGTTTTTCCTTCTTTCCTGATATTTAATAACAATACAATCCCATAATCTGTTTATTCTAGTTTGTAACTTGTTTTTACACTCGTATAGCTGAATAAAATGGTAGCAAGGGTAGCATAAGGTGATGTTTCCGATCAAATGACTAGAATCGAAAAAATTATAACTTGTACAAATATCTACTAGTCTTCATAATGTAGTACAAAGAATTACACAGCAAAAGAGAACATGTATACTATACAATCTCTTTGTATAAAGAATCAAAGAATGATATCCTGTTGTGTATGATTTTAAATCTATCATTCGACTAATGATGGAAATTTACATTGCCTCACATACATATTACGCCTATTAAAGGAAATTTACATTGACATGATATGTATTAAAAAATGGTGCTCTAAATCCCACTGATACCTTGAAAGGCACCTCAAGTGCTTCCAAAGGTATAAAAGCAGCACTCACTTGTTAAGTTGCCAAGTAAACTTCATGCCATAAGCTTTGGTATTCATTTGTATATCATGAACTAGCATGTGAGTCATTGCACATGCACTCAGGGACAGGATACTTGGTAACATCCCTCCCAGCCTTGCTAGTCCTGAGTTCTGGCTGCCCCAATGAGTCCTTGTGCAATTCATTGATAATCGTGTTGAACTCTTCTTCACGGAGGGAAGAATTGAGAAAATAGGGGATCGTGTGTCTTTTGTTTGGGGTAATATATTTCTTGTGCCCGGCATATGCCCTATGACCCTGAAATGATATTTTAAGTTTCAGAAACTAAAAATTTTGCCACATTAAGATTCAAGTACAAAAGCATTTCTTAGAATAATTACCAGTAACTTACTATTAATAAGCATACCTGAATTGCATGGCCCATGTTTCCTCCATGAGATGGCATGAAAACATCACTCTTCTCAGAGACTATGTAATCTATGGCAGCCAATAGAGAAGCCTTTTTTGCAAATGGTTGTAGTTCTCCAGGCATGGCAAGATCTTCCTTACCGAAAAAATGAGGAAACTCTTGGATTAATGGAAGCAAGGCTTCTTTTACACCCAATGGTTGTCCTCCAGCCCAATAAATTCTTGCCTTTTTTGGAGCTCCTAGAGCTTTAAGTAACCTAAAAATGAAATCACAATAACATCTATCAGGAAATCCAGTTACACTCAAATTTTTAAAAACCAATAATAAAGAGCACGAGTCTGAAGTAGAGGTAAAGTTACTCCTATGTGGCTGAAAGATCACAAATTTGAATCCGGAAACAGCCTCTTTGCAAATATGCAAAGGTAAGGCGTCGTACAAGCATTGCTCTCATCCCTACCCTCCCTAACGGGGAGTGGTTTTTTTAATAAAACAGAAGGGTCACAACTGTACCTGGTAACCTCCATAGCATTCAAGGGGCAAAGACCAGCCATCTTTCTTTCATGGTAAGTCATGTTTGATCTTGCAGTCAAGAGCTCCGGCCGTTGTATCCTCTCATTGTTGACAATTTCATCAAACTCAGGACTCAGACCAGGGAGGCAACCAGTCCTCACCCACACATCCTTTTCCATTCTTAGATGAAGAGCAAGGTAAGGACCCTTGCTCTTCATTCTCTCTGCAAATGTGTTACCAAGTTCCTGAACTGGTGGGGAAAACCTTAGTGCATTAAAAGCAACCTGAAAAATAAGATGAGAACTTTAAGTATCTGCAATTAGTTGTCATATAAATAAATTTCTAAAGGGTGAGTTTTAGTTCTTTTTTTTAAAATTTCTTTTATTGTTATGGTTTTTCCTCTTTCACTTGCAGAAAAAGAATATGATGATGAAGAGACTTTGCAATACCTTGCATCGAAGCTTCTGAAGATCAGAAGGAAGATCCTTTGATAGCCTTGAATCCAAGCCACGTAAAAGCAAAACACCTTCTCTATTGAGCTGCATCGTACAACCAGGATTATAATTAGAAAAAAGTCTTGTTCAACAAGACCAACATGCATTATTGCCAACACTCTAGTTTGAGCTTACGTACACAAACAATCATGAAGCACTATGGGACAACAATTTAGGACTCAAAAACTGGAAAGGCTAAAGACTATTAACTATTAAGTACTACTGAGTATATGCCCACTGGAACAAAACACAACAAAAGTTAGGAACTCTTCTTACTCTTCTGAGATATCTTGAACGGATCCAACTGGGAGTGACATGAAGGGGAGGGCTTCCCTCCACTGGCCTTGTCATTAGGTGTGTTGATGGCAATGCTGAAACCACTCGTACATCATTGGCAAGAACTCTTCTGAAGTGCTCCAGATCAAATATATCAGCAAATTCACTGCAACCAAATGAATGTAAACATTACAAAAACTGAAAGAAATTTAATTGTATGATTAAACATAACTAATGCTTAAGCTGCAGCTCCAATGCAAGCATTAATCAATATTTTGTCCAAACTTTTAAAATTTGAATTCCTTAATCTGCTAAAAGGCTAAAACCAATTCTGAATATGCTAATATGATTCAACTTGAAAAAGATCATAGGCTATGGACAAGAAAAATAGTTACCTTTCATCACCCCAAATGACATTGACTTGCAATATAGGAACAAGCAAAGCAGCCCCAAGAATCCTAGCAATGACAACCGCATCAACAATCTGATTTCTCTGCTGATTCATGCCCCCAGAAACCACAACCATGAGGTACTTTCTTCTGTCATTGAAAATCCCTTGACTTGCTCTCCTATAATCTCTGCTGAAACCCAAGCAAGGTTTGTATCCCAACCCATTTGGTTGCTTCCAAAACTCCCTCTTTTCAACATCCTCATCATCACTTTCCACCTTGTCCAATCCACTAGGCCCTTGTGCTCTAAATTGCACATGGGAAACTAAAGCCTGTGCCCAACTACTTTTGTTCAAAATCTCATCTTTCTGGGCAATCTCAACTGGTTTCTCTGTCTGCAAGACAACACCAATCTTGGATTTTGAATGGTCATTTGAGATTGAGAGGTGTGGCTTGGATTTGGCACATGGGTAAGGAGAAAATGGGGTGTCAAGATTGAAGCCAAACTTGAGCATGCCAAGGAAACCAACGAGAAAGAGCGTGAAAAACCAGAGTCTTGGGGTCCTGCTAATGGTGTTGGTGAAGATAAAGAACCTGTTTTTTCTTGAAGACTTTTTGGGGGAAGATAGCAGAGATTGCAGAGAAGATGATGCTATGGAATTTATTATCTGAGAAGGAACTGATATGTATGACAACTTCTTGGCATTATTTTTGGAGTTGGCCATTGAAGAACTGCAAAATGAGACAGAGAGAGAAACTCTAACTAATTTTCTTTTATTCTGTTTGATCTTATGAAGTTAAGAAGAAGAAGAAGAAGAAGACTCGGAGATAAATGAGTCTGGAGTGTTTTTAAAAGAGCCTACTTTTTCACTCCGAGCCTTCTTCTCTTAGAGAGAGAAGAGAAGGTCGGCGGGAACGCGAAGTCAGATCAACATTTCTACGCGTAATCAAAAAGGAGGAAACTTTAGACAAGTTTTGCTCTTGGGAGCTTAATTTAAGGAGGAAACTTGCTTCGTTTTGTTCCTGTAAGTCCCAATTTTTTGGAATAGGGGAGAAAAGTGAATTTTTCACTAACGTTAAAAAAAAGAAAAAGACTGTTTAGTACGGTAAAAGATTTTATGAATATTTGTTCAAGTTTTCTCGTTATTTTTGGGAATATAAATTGGTTTTACAAAATTAAACTTTGCCTAATTTTGTTAAAATTTTTTTGATATACAACAAGTGGGTTAAAACGCGGAATATCATATTTTATGAAGAGGAACTCACAATTTTATAAAGTAGAGTATCATGGCTAGAATTTTAATAAGAGAGTGTATTTTAATCATGAAAATATTAAAACAAGATTATTTATGTCCTATAAATTATATAAAAAAATTTCACCTAGTGGTATTATTTTATAAGATTCTTATTCACAATTTTAATTCACATGAATCTTACTTTTTCCATGAAAATTTTAAGAATTATTATATCAAACATGAGTAACTAAGATTCTCAATATAAGTTTTCTGAAATATAAAATTCGCTCTCTATCAAACAATCAGATAATATCTTATTTATCATGCTTCATTTCTAAAATGGGCATGTTTAAGTGTTGGCATTCGACATTCATTATAACATTATCCATATTTGTCTTTCAGTCGAGCTGGACATAACCACAAGAGTTACAAAGCTCTCCTTATTAATTTTTAACAGTTGTATATCTGGACTCGAGCTCAAAATTATTGGTTAAGTTAGAATATTTCTCACCAATTAATCCACTTACTTGGTGATCTCCTTTGTAATGGATAGGTAAATGAATTGTTTATTTGGTAGGGAATGACCCTTATGCCCATTTTTTTTTATTAACCCGATAAGTAAACAAATAACTACAAATTTGGTTGGATTTTTCACCTAGATTTTGATGTTATCGTTGGTAATCAATTTTTACATCCAAATATGGCATACGATGTTGCTTTTTCGTTTGTTTTCTATGGAGACAGGTATAATATATAGTTAGAGTTAAATCCAAAGTCATCTAACTATTATATCTGTGAGAATTCTATCTTACCATCATGGGGATAAGAAATATGATCAGATATTTCTTTTATATGAAGAGGGATCTAATATTTAATGAGATGTAAATTTAAGGTCATCTAACTATATATCATGGGAATCCTATCCAGCCATATACAGGGTAGAAATTGATATTTCAAATCCACAAAAAATATGTGAAATATGTCAGTTAGTTGAAATTTTTTCGAAACTGAATAAATTTTAACTCAACTCAACTCAACTCAAATCTGTAAGTTGTCTTAGACTAAGACATACTGATTATTATTGAAAAAAAAGTATGATATTGAAGAGTTTTTTTTTAATTTAAATTAATACTGTTAATACAGAAATTTTTTTATTTGATATTTGCTAAGACTAAAAATATGTACAAATTAATTTTTAAGTGTTAAAAACTTTATATATATATATATATATATATATATATATATATATATATATATATAATTCAGGTCAGCAAGTTGGTTTCAATGGTTTGCCCCATTCGTGACCCACATAAGAAAGCAATTTTTATCCAACTTTCATAATTTAAAATTGAGATTTTGTAGCGACTGACCCAATGAGTCGAGTTAGTTTAGAGTGTCATCTTTAACTAAAAATTTCCCAAGAAATGATTATTATAGTTTAGAGTGTCCACAAAGTAGAGTTAATTCGAAGGCTGTTTCATGAGGTGTATGAAGCGTATTCGGGAGAAAAGGATACTGCTATAAATAAGAGATCCATGGTTATAAATGTTTCTTGGCATTTTCCAATGGAAGGATTTGTAAAGCTGAATACAGTTGGTGTTGAGAGGGAAAATTTGGGTCCTGCTGCTTGTGATGGTGTTATTCGGGATTCTCAAGGTAATTGGCTAAATGGATTCGCCTTCAAACTGGGAATTTGTAGTTCGTTCAAGGCAGAGCTCTGGGGTGTGCTTAGAGGATTGGAATTGACTTGGAGAACTAGGTTCAGACAACTTATATTAGAAAGTGATTCCACAAGTGTGGTCACTATGCTCGCCTCTCATGGTGTAGCAACTCGTGATGATCAAAATGATCTCTCGTATACGAGCATGGCTTTGTAGAGATTGGACTGTTAAAATTAATCACACTTACAGGGAAGGAAATGCTTGTGCAAATTGGATGGCGAATTTTATTCTCAATAGTGATGATACTGTGCAACAGGTTTCTAGTGGAGAGCCTCCTCTTGGTATTCAGCTGATTTATCTGGCGGACCTTGCTGTTGTGGGTAGTTTGCGTGCTGTTGGCATATAGTAGGATTTTTTTTCTTTTCTTGTTGGGCTCTAGCCCTTTTATTTACCAAAAAAATAAAAATAAGGGAGAAAATAACTCTTGTAACGATATTGAAGTTATAATATATAATAGAGAGGTTTCTTCTCTTTGGTTCTTATCTAGAACTCTGAACCTATCAAGAAGTTTGTTCTTGTGGCGTTTAAACCAGACTTATCACTCACCTTCTTCTTTCTTGAGTGTGGCGTCTTTATCCTTCTTATACCTTTGGTTCTTATCTTCCATAGATAACGGGTCAATGTTCTTTATTTCTTGTTTTAAATTCATGATTGTAGAAACGACCCTAACTAAATTGGTCTTGGGTCTCACTATTCTTTGTGAGGTTCATATCAAATACAAAACGCGTGGGAGACCGACCAGATCCAAGATGGAGAGAACCGCAGAAGAGAAACTCACAGTGAGGTTCGTCAACTCGGAATGTTAATGATCAGGTCCGGGTTAATACGGATCTAACCTGGATACTCAAATCCAGGTTGGGATTACTGAAGTACAAGGTGTGGCTAATACTGGTGGGATTTCAAATCCTAATAATCATATCCGAGTTGAGAACACCGATGAAGGTCATAGCCTGCACAATAATCACAATGTGAATATGATAATTCTTACCCTGAATGCTGGATCAGGAAGGAATGTGGGGTGATATGCTTTACAACCAGATACCCAGTTTCAATATAACCAGGATCATATTCAAGGTCGTGTTGAAGCTGGAGCATACAAGAGGAAATATAGTAAAGGACAATACAATAATAGTCCCTTCACTGGTGAATTTCTTAATGCTCCATTCCCAAAGGAATTTGACTCGACACACTTGTCGAAGTATAATAGAAGCCAAGATCCACAGGTTCATATAGACACTTTTGACACTGAAATGTATATCAGAGGGATTGATGAGCCCATTATTTCCTGGATATTTGCTACAACTCTGACTGGAGCTGCTCAGACATGGTTCTCAACTCTAACTGGTAATTCAATTGGATCTTTTGAAGATTTTGGAGAGAAGTTTTTACTGAATTTTGCAATGAGCAAGAAGCATCCGAAATTCGAGTTTGCACTTGGAAAAATTCGACAGCAATTTGGAGATACTCTCCGAAATATTTGAACCATTTTAAACATGTGGCATTACAAGTTTTGGGTTTATAAGAAAATGTTCATGTGCATTTGATTGTGGCCGGCATGGATGGTGTATCTCGGTTAGCAAAATCAATATTTAAAGATCCAGTGAAAACACTATAAGAATTTAGAGCTCGGACAAAGAAGTACTTGGAGCTTGAGAAAATGGAGATAGAAAATGCATCAGGAGAGGAAAAAAGAAAAATGAGTAAAAGGAAAAGTCCAACTCCAATGAAAAGGGAACGACCAGGGACTAAGAAGAAAAACTTCCGAGGAAGAAACGCGGATGACAGATTTTGAGTAAGGAAGTATGAAAAGTATACTCCCCTGAATATACCCCGGTCTCAAATATGGAGAGAAGTAGCAATGACCGAGTTGAAGAAAGTAGAGCGACCTCAGCCTGTACTGAACAAAGGAGGCTTGGATCAGTCCAGGTTTTGTGCATTTCATAATGGACCTGGGCACACTACATATCAGTGTTGGGACCTTAGAGATGCTGTGGAAAAATTCATCAAAGATGGAAAGCTGCGTCAATACGTAATCAAGACTCAGGGATGGAAAAATAATAAGAGGAAATTTAAGGGCCAATGTAAAAGCAAGAGCCCAATTCTTGAAAAGAAAAAGAAAGAAGATAGAGGAAAGAAGGAAGATTTCAATGATGATGAATTCCCGGAAGTCGAGTTTGACTGTAATATAATCAGTGGAGCTCTTGGTAGAGGTGGAGATACTGTAAGCACAAGGAGAAAATATCTCAGAGAGGTGCTTTCGGTTAGGGATCGACCAAAGTTTAAGGAAGATCTCAGCAAACTGGATGCTCCTTTATTTTACTTTAACAAAAGAAGATTTGAAAGATGTAGTACTAAGACATGGAGATGGCTTGGTTATTATAGGAACTTTGGTGAATTGCCGGGTTAAGAAGATCTTCGTAGATGCCGGCAGCTGTGCTGATATTATCCATTGGGATGCTTTCAAGAGGATGAACTTGGATAAAGAAGACCTCAAGCCATGTAATCCTACGCTAATAGCCTTTAGTGTGGAAAACACACCCTAAGGGATATATAGATCTCAGATTAACTCTAGGAATGAAAGAGGCGTTAAAGTTGGAATGTGTAAGAACGTGCACCGTTAAATTAGGAATTTAAATTAATTAAATGTAAATTACGAAATAATTCCATAATTGACCCTAATAATTATGAGAAGGCTTAAATTATTATGGTAAATGATTATATATATTGAAAGTCGCTTTTCTGACGAAAAGTGCAGATACCGGTTCTGCCTCTCGGTATAAATGCATACCGATGAAGTATCCCGAAA